CTCCCGGGTTCAGGCAATTCTCCTGCCTCAGCCTCCTGAGTAGCTGGGATTACAGGCACGCGCCACCATGCCCAGCTAATGTTTTGTATTTTTAGTAGAGACAGGGTTTCACCATGTTGATCAAGATGGTCTCGATCTCTTGACCTCGTGATCCACCCACCTCGGCCTCCCAAAGTGCTGGGATTACAGGCTTGAGCCACCGCGCCCGGCCCCATATGCATATTCTAACAACTCCATTCAAAAGCCACCATCTGGTGACTTAGGCTGTAAATGGAAAAATTTTTTTTTTTTCTTTCAAGTGGAGTCTCACTCTGTCGCCCAGGTTGGACTGCAGTGGTGCAGTCTCAGCTCACTGCAACCTCCACCTCTTTGGTTCAAGTGATTCTCCTGCCTCAGCCTCCCGAGTAGCTGGGACTAAAGACACATGCCACACCACCTGGCTAATTTTTGTATTTTTAGTAGAGACAGCGTTTCACCATGTTGGCCAGCCTGTTCTCAAACGCCTGACCTCAAGTGATCTGCCTGCCTCAGCCTCCCGAAGTGCTGGAATTACAAGTGTGAGCTCCCGCACCCAGCCTGAAAACAGATTTTTTAACCAGAGACCTGCTTCATTTCTTTTTTACAATTCTGAGGTGAGCCCAGATTAACTGAATTTTGGTTTCTGGCAGTAATTCTTGCAAGGGCACTATTATTCCTTGACCCAGCATAAAAACCTCTGGAGTACTTTGGCTGCTCGTGACGCTTCCTGGTGTTTCAGATGTGTATGGAGCAGTAAATACAGGGCGAGTACCTTATGCTGTGTATTTGCTTGGGGCTTCTTGAGTGCTTTGACTATTCCTTCCTAAATCTGAGCTGCTTCTTTGGAATTTCTGTTCCTTTTTTGTAAATTTCTTTATTAATTCAAAGCCACTTAATTAAGATGATGTGAGTCAGCTCCCTATGGAAAGAAAGCTCTTACTTTTTTAAGTTAGAGATTGTAAGGATTTATTAGAAACACAGAGATTAGAGCTTTGTGATTCCAAATAGCCATTTGATGGCTGAAGTAAACTAGGCTCTGTGTATTTCTGGCAGGTTACCCCTTTTCTCCCAAACCTTCTGCTTCCCAGTATTTAAGACTGACTATAAAATGCAGAACTCAGGGAAACACTGATCAGTCTGAGATGAGTCCTGCTATCACGAGGGTGCCAGTACCCTGTGACCCGCGGCACTTTGTTGCAGGTCTTAGTCAGGGTACAAAGGGTTCCTGCTTGGTGGTTTTGCCGCAGCTTCAGAGTGTAGCCTGAACTGTGGCAGGATTTTGTAACTTGCACGTTTTCTGAGAAGTCTGACGGAGGTATTATGTCCAAGGACAATTCTTTGAGTAAGTCTTACCAAATATAGGAGATGGGGAGGACATTTTGCTAGATGGACCTAGTTCTTTTCTTTTAAAAGTTAGGATTTTAGGTTACCAGAGGCTGATCTGGGAATGTAATTTTTTGAGCCCATATGTCAGTGTTTTTAGAGGAAAATGAAATGGCTGTAAAAATTCCCAAGTAGGAGTAGACGTGTGGAAGTAGGAAAACCACTGGGAGTTAAAACTGATCTAGAGAGCTAAGTGACTGGGAGAGGGGAGGGAGATAACTTTTTTAGTGTAGGCTAAATTTTTTACTTCCTGAATTTTTAACCACGTGACTATATTACCTATTCTAAAATATAGATTAAAAATAAACTATTCAAAAAATAAATTGAGCTAGAGTCAGGTTGGTCTCTTGTGCATTTAGGTATTAAAATATTTAATTTCAGTATACTAAGAATGAGTTGTTCATGTTTTGTTCATTTTTTACTAATTTGTTTTCAAATCTGTTCATTCAGACAGTGTTTCCGGAGAACATGGGGAGTCGGCCAGTCTTGGTACCTTCAACCCTGCCTATAGTAATCCCTCTCTTCCACAGCCCTCTGGGAACTCAGAGGATGAGTTCACCACTTACTTTAATGAGAAGATCTCCATTCCTGAGGTGGAGGTTAGTGTCAGATCCTTGAAGGAGAACAGTATTGTCTGGGGAAAACCTGTGAGTGAAAGATCAGCTGGATGGGTCAAGCTCAGCAGCCTCAGGTCTCATTTTGGCTGGCAATCTTTGAAGACTGTGTGTAAATATATAGATATACGTATAGATATAGCTATACATATAGATAGGGGTGTGTGCATATATATATATACACACCCACACACACATACACAC